CCTTGACTCCACATCCCGGGCCACCAGCGGAGTTTCCAGCCCAGGGCAGGTGTTCAAAATAAATGAATGGGTGTTGACAAAACAAGCGAAACTGATAAAGAGAACAATATAACGAGGTCTCAGCTTTCCAGTTTAATTCAAGGATAATCCATTAAACGTGAACTCGCCAATGCACCCCATTCAGGGTCGTTCCACCAAACGTGGATTTTTCAGCTCACTTTATCCTTGTGCAGCAGAAGCTCCTCCCAGGGCATAGCCCTGGCCTGCGAATAATGCAATTTCTCTTTCTCCTCAGGCACACACTTGTATGTGAGTCACAGAAACGAAGCGTTTCGCTGTGCTCATAACCTGCGGAAAGAACAAAAACTATGTTTGCTTTTGGAAGAGGCTCAAGCTCCCTACATGGGGGAAGAAATAATTCGGTCCCACCAGGAACCCCCCAGATGTATTGCTCATGAAAGCACTGTCTTAACACACCTCATCTTTCCCACCTTGTCCCTTCTCCCGGCTCCTTAAACAGGAGGACGATGCCGGTCTTCAAGAGCTTGCTGTGAGCAGAAATAGTTTGTGCTTTCGTTTGGAAGCTGGGCTCAGAGGCGTTAAATACTCCTCTTGGTGGACAGAGAGCCTGCAGTTGTGCCTTCTGAGATGCGCATTGTGGGGTCGTCAGATAATGTCTTTGGGAAGCAACACGTTAAAATTTTGTCTTTCTATCTTCCTGGGACAGGAGCCCCCTGCAAACAGGACGGTACGGCAGCCCTAGCCCGGGCAGGAGACTGCACACCTACTAGTGCAAACACACGCACACAGTGTGCTTGGCCCCTTGAGGGCTGGCAGTAACCGGCTCAAGCCCACGCACAGTTCCCAGGCTCAGAGACCAACCCCGCCTTCAGGCTTTATCAGATCCATCCTAAAAACAAAAAGGTTTAAGACCTAAAATTCAAGTCCCTGAAGCAAATGTCCCAGAGTAGCCAGGGTACCAGCTGGGGAGAGAGATTTCTAAACGAGAAAAAAAATCCCAGCTGGCTCCAAGCCAGGCTGAAAAGTCTGCTTTCCTGCCTCTTAGCAGGTGGGAGAGAGGAGGAGGGCCCCGAGCCCCGCCTGTCTGTGACGAACCACGCGCAGAGGCCGCCAGCTTTGGCATAGGCTGCAGTGGTCGGGGGGCGGCTCTCACCGGCCTCAGCCTGGACAAGGGCCACAGCCTCCCCTCCTGGGGTCCGCGCCAGGCTCCCACGCCCCTGCTGCCCCGGCTCGGGGCCTCAGCCCTGTTCTCCCCGCCTGCTGCGAGGGCAGGGGCTGGACCTGGGCCTCTAGCAGACAGTTTGCTTAGCCCGGCTCCTGTGTCCCTGTCTTCACGCCGAGCGGTTGTGGCTGCCGTGGCAGGGCCGCCCACACCCCTCTGTGCTGATCACGGCAGCTGTGACTGAGGAGCTCTGGCGCCTGCGCCCCCCAGGCCTGGGGACCACTAACGTCTCCGTCCCAGTGCTGCACCGAGAACCTCACTGTGAGGAGGCCTGCGAATCCCCTCCTTTCTCTTCCCCAAGAGAGGATACGGACTCACAGCCCGCCAGGGTCTACACTTGCCTCCTCTCTGACTGAAAATTAGCCCAGTGAGGAGGCTGATTCTGGTCACTCATCCGAGTGACACAATGAAATCAGTCACCCTGCCCAGTGGCTCCACAGGGAACGGACCACGGGCAACCCAGAGCAGAGGAGGAGGGGCTCGGGGTGGGGGGCACGCCGCTCCACCCAGCTCCTGACCCCTTAGCTCAGTCTTGTCAGTTTTGTGAGCCGACTCTCTGGAAGGCACGAGAAGCCCTGAGCAGTGTGACCGGGAAGGGAGTATTTGATCAGATGAGCTTCTATTAAGACAGGACCTCGGAGGAAGAAGACAGTGAGGGAGAAGTGGAGGACCACGCTGGGTGAGTACGAAGCACAACACGGCAGCAGAAGAGAACTGTCGACTTTCCGCAGGAAGCAAGGTTCCAACTCCCGGTGCCCAGCCAGAGCCCTGCGGTGCTCGCACACAGGCCCCTTTGCTCCCCCAAGCGGCCCCGGGACACTCGGCACTTCTGTGACGCAGGGAACCATCAGGCAGGGACTCAGGCTCCAGCCTCCCTCTCTCTCCCCATCCATGCCGCCCTTTGCTCAAGATACGGGCAGGATACACCTCTGTGTTTTCCCCAGGATGCCATGGTTCCACAAACCTCAAAGTGTCCTCTTTTCTTGCTCTCACAGCCACTCATTCAAGACAGTGCCTCTAGGATGAGGCAAATGGTAAACTTTGGACAGAGCTGGCAGCTCCAACGCACATCAGTAGGCGGAAGCTTCAAGAAAGGAGACCTACGTGCAGGGGTGTCATCAGACTGGACAAGAGAGCAGGCCCACGTTTCCGCCATTCTTCCCCCATCGATGTCAGTGTTCCTTCTCAGTGCCTCAAGTGTAGACAGTCCGAAGGTGCAAATGAGGTGAAGCACTTGAGAAACGTCCCTGCTCTCGTTTTTCCCGTGTTAGTGTCCCTGAGCTGGGGTGGGTGACCAGGGTATCCTTCGGAAAGTGCAGCAGATTGGAGAAAGGAAATAGGACTCCTGTACAGAAGGGAGGCGCCTGAGAGGGTTTACCTGGCATCACTTGGCAGGTGAAGAAGGCCACAAAGACGAAAAGGCAAAATAACTTCATGGTGCTGATTCGGAAGAGACCTCGGAAAAGTTCCTGGAAAGGAGAAAACAAGCGGCACTACAGTGCGGTTGAATAAGAAGCCGTTCAGAGCTGCTGCTTTTATAGGTCTGATCAGCGCAACCACACGTGGAGGAGAACGTCCAGGTGTGGCCCGAACCCCGTGAAGTAAGCAGCAGCCATGGTAAGGCTGCTCCACGCTGGAGGCGTTTCTTCGCTGGCACTCGGTGAGTCAAGGACCAGGAGAGAACGGTAATTAAGCAACAGTGACGACGCAGGAGAAACAGGAGCGGCCGGGACTGCCGCCGCGCTTACTCCTGGAGACCTGGGAACGGTCTGCGTGACCTTCCCCTGCTTCCTCACGCAGAGTCTCTGCGGCCTGCTGCTTCAACCCCGGCGCAGGTGCGGTCACAAAACAGTCTTTTATTTCCCCAGGAATCACCCTCGCACTCAGTACTACGGAACTGAGTAGAAGGAAGACCATCACCTGCCCCCAGGGCTCACCTCCCAAGGCTCCCTTCTCCCTGCAGGTCCCGGGAAACGTCCGAAATCTGCCCCAGGTGCAGCGGCTCCTGTGTCCCCAGGCCGGGTTCTTAGTGAGGGCCGGTCCCACTGAGTCTGACTGGTGGAATTTATCTGTGTTGCAGGGATGGCCCTGCTGATTCAGGGCCCCGTCCCAGCTGCGGTGATGTCTCATGACCAATGAGACCTCGTGTTCCCGGCTCTCGTACCGCCAAGCATAGCACAGTTGCAGGGTAGGTGGAAACCGAGGGGCTTTCCTCCCGAGCCAAAGCCTGAGTAAACACCAGCTCTCTTCTCAAATCAGGCCCTGCCAGGAGGCGGGGTGCAGCGCCGCCGTCGGAGGAGGTAGGGAATGGAAGAGCCACCAACTGCGAAGGCATACTGAGCCCGAAAACGAGGCCGGCCGCTCCGAATGACCCTGGGCCAGTGCATTAGAGGGTAACTCACTCACGGGGTGGAGGGGGGGCGCTGAGGGGACAGTGATCCAGAAGCAGTCACAGAGCAGCCCGCACCTACGGGGGCCACTGGGACAATGTCATAGCTCACCTGGAAGGTGGAGGCAGGTGCTTGGAACAGGAGGTGCGCTCCTGAGTTAGGATTTGTGAAAGGAGAGTTCGTCTCGGGGGTGCTGGGTAAAGGCTTTTCATGATTGTCTGGGGAGAAACAGAGCATGGAGGCACCTGGTCCTAATGATTATTCAACAATATCTACTCGTTGCAAAGCCCTTGACGACAGAGGACTGATTTGCTGCGCGTCCAGTGCTGAGTCGGACCCGCGAGACAGGAGGACACACGGGCCCCAGTTGGCGTCCGTTATGCTGGCAGCCGTCCGCCCACCTACCCCTTAATCTTACTTAACCTGCTCTCTGTCGCTGGGGTTTGGCTCAGCCGACCCCAACTTAGACTCCCAGGGAGCTGGGGGCGAGATTTCAATTACTTCTCACCTGGAAAATCTTGGTCTCCTCATAGCAAACGACCGCCCTTACTCTGAGTGAATCTTGTCTGCAGCAAATGTCTTCAGAAGTGGCCGGCTCAAGGACTCTTGTGCCTTCCCTCCCTTCCTGGGTGATGGTCGATTACTCACCTGGCATTCCCACAATTAGCGAGAAGCAATCAAGAGGCGCATCCTGAAGGTGATCATTATGGCCTTCCTACAGCCAGAAGCAAAGCAGCCTTAGCTTATGCAGATCAAGCATTGCCCCTAAAGGTGTGCAGGGGAAACGAGACTAGGGGCGTTCACAGTGACTCATTGTGCATAGATACATTCCTTCCATGTTCTTTCTCATTATAGGCTATTACAAGATACTGAGTGTAGTTCCCTGTGCTGCACAGTAGGACCTTGCTGTTTATCCATTTTCTATAGTTGTTAGTAATAATACCTTTTTAAAATTATTTTTTATTTTCTGCGGGGGAGGTAATTAGGTTCCTACTTATTTACTATCAATGGAGGCACTGGGGGTTGACCCTAGTACCTTGCGCATGCGAGGCAGGCACTCTACCACTGAGCTCTGCCCTCCCCTAGTAATAACACTTTTCTAAAAATTTGGTATCCATTTTCCCTGATAATAAACAACTAACCCACGCACAGGGCTAGGGGCGCAGAGCTCAGGGCTCAGTGCTCAGGGCTGGGGGCCAGAGGCACAGGGCGAGGGACGCAGGGCTAGGAGCGCAGGCGAGGGCTGCGGCTCCCCAGGAGCCCCAAGGGAGGGGGCAGTGAGGCTGTGAGTGGTGGGGAAGACATGGGAGAGCGGAGGAGGTTTCAACTTCACAGTGAAGAAATACAAGTAAGGCAATGGACTATTTTTAAATTACTCATTGGTTCCTAAATTCCCCTGGTGGTAGCAGATCGCTGTACGGATGGACAGATAAGCTCTTCTGACAGGGCACTGTGTGGACTAGCATCTCAGATCCCAGCAGTACTCAGAACCCGGTTGTAACCCCTGCAGGCAGACGATGCAGGAATGAACAACTGGGGAACTACATTTGTATGTGTATCGATGCCTTTACAGACGCTGGGGTACGCTGATAACAGCCCACTGGCCGTCGGAAAACCCGCTCTGAATTTTCTTTAGTTATTCGTTGATTGGGACCCAAATGACTGAGTCGGTTTTGGAAGAATGTCCATGCACCTTGTCATTCCTCTTTGCCCCCCACCTTCTCCGCGCCCTGCAGTATTCCTGCCTCCCCCCTCCCCCCGCCCCACACCTGCGCTGCGAGTTGCAGAAAGCCGGTGATGTCTGGGCTTGCTGCCTCCCCGGAGGGGGGACGGAGACGTCGGCAGTGGAGAGAGGACTTACTCAGCAAGCCACAGCAAGCGTCATGCCCTGCACGGGAAAGGGGACAAGAACGACACCCAAAATCACACCCGCCCCAGGGCTCCAGCCTCAGGCATAAGACCTTCGACTGAAGATCCTGGCTTCCTACAGGCTTCTCCCAACATCTGCAAGAAAAGCTGGCGCTTCTAGGTAGTGTCTTGTACACACGGGCGCCCATCCCGCCTGGCCCCAGCGCCACCGCGCCCCCTGCACGTGCTCCCCCGCACGTGCTCCCCCGCACTCAGCATAGTGGCGGGTCCCAGGACCAAGGCCTGGTCTCACCTCGCCTTGACCCGCCGTGCTGAATGCTTTCACATCCAGCCTCCCTGAGATCAAGGAAACCGTAACTGCCCTTCCACATGAACAGACCGTTGTCTAAGAGCCAAGAAAAGAGTCCCAAATTGCACTCCTGCTTTGTCGGCAGCGGGGCTGGCTGTTTGGCCGTGCCCAGTTTGGGTTTCTACCTCTGGGATGGACCGACAGACCAAAGCGGTTTAATGATTACGTGTGTTATGTGAATGCAAACACTTCGCAAAACTTAAAGCGTAATGTAAAATTCTCATAACTGTCTCCCGCCCACTGCCTACCCCTTCATGGAAAACAACCGTCCCTTTGATCCATGCGCTTGATAAAGTAACTGACTGTGCAGACTTGACAACTGTTCGCTTTTATTTGCACAAGAGGGGCCATGCTCCAGCTCTCTTGCCAGGATTCCCCCCAAGCTGGGCTTCCATCAGCTCCCCTTAATTCTGCAGCAGACGGTGAACGCTCGGCAGGGTCCTCTGAAGGGCTCACAGTTTGGCGCGCCTTGCTTCAGGCAGATTCCACCCCGAAGATAGCAGGGTCTTTCAAAATTGAGTGCCCTAGTGCCATCTGAAAAATGAAAAGATGTTTGTAGAAGCCGAAGGTTCCATGGGGAAAGCTGGAGCTCGCACCGTCCAGGTGGAATCCCATCCCTCCCAAGCACACGCCGACGGCAAGCTGTCCCCGCCCGTCCCTCCCCTCTCACTCTGACAGCTGTCGTCGTTGTCAGTGGAACCGCTGGCCGAGCGGTCCTTCCCGCCATGGGGACCACCGGGCCGTGCTGCTCAGCCAGTAACCTCACCCGGGGCACCTCGCCAACCACCCCACCTCCCCGCCACACACCCCACCCCAGCTCTCACAGCTCATCGGACAGAAGAGCACCCAGCTGAACTCAAGGTCGCCGCCACGGTGTGAGTGACAAGAAGCCTCTGGTCAGGACTTTTGTCTCCACACCGACTTGTACAGATAAAATGATTCAACTGATTTGGTTCTCAGATCATCCAGCTCATTTGCAGCAAAGGGGAGGGAGCCCACGGTCACTCCCTGACGAGACTGCTGGTGCCACAGAGACACAACGAGCAGCTCTCAGAGGAACCGTCTGATGTCTCAGCGACTCATTTGGGGTGTGGAGACGAGCGTTACTCTCTGACGACGGCGGACTTAGGGAAGGAGAAAACAGAGCAGTGACAAGAAAGGCGTCGTGGCTGGTATTTACCGGGCAGTACCTGGAAGACGGCAAGGAGAGCGGCGAGGATCACGTGGACGAGTCTCATTGTTACGGAGCTGAGGTTCCTGAAGTCCTGACGGTAAGAATCAGCAAGACAACGTCAGAAGCCCGAGGATTCGTGCAAAGAGCAACTCCTCACCGGCCCAGGCCCTGCGCCCCGCTCAGTAACTGCCCGTTCCTGCTCCCCGGGCCCAGCCCCGGCTCCTCTTCTGTTCCTATCCAGCTCTGGTTCGGGGCTTCCGTATCAGCGCATCCTACAGAGACGGTGCCAAGGTGAGGGAGGGGCTGGGAGCACCCGAGGGGAGGGATAGGGCCCGGAGTCAAACCGTTAGGAGCGGAGAATAAGGACAGCCCCTCACAGGGGAGGGGGCTCAACAGAAAAGATCTGGAGGCAAGGCGACTGGCTCTTCCAGGCTCCTTGAAAGAAAGTTCCAGAGTGGGGGCCGGCTTGTTATAATCCTCCCAGAGAATCCCTGTTAAAGGGAGGAACAGTTCACGCTGCTTACAGACTCGGGGGGAAATACACCAAATTGTTCTCAGGATTTGGATTTTATCATTTACTTTCACTTAAATCTATTACAATTTTTTCTAATTATAAAAAAAATACACATCAGAAAATTTCAAATCATAAAGAAAGGAAAACATGGAAGATTAAAAAAACCCATAGCCTCATTGTTCAATTGTAACCACTATTCTCAATTCAGAGCGGATTTCAGTTCTTCTCCTTTGTAAATAAAATTATGTAAATGTTTATTTTCAATTTAAAATAGAGACTCATACTTCATAACCAGCTCCATTGTGTCTTTTTTTTTCCTACTTAAAATATTACCTTGGAAATTCTTTACTACCTGTTCAAATATGTTTGCCTTGTATGACTAGACATATGTCTTTAGAAGTGTATTCAGTGCTTACTTTTGTACAAACTCCACAAGGGAATCTCGACCTACATGCATATTTCAGGTTTTGCCCAATTGCCCCTTCTAGAAGCCGCTGTGCCACACTCTCCTCTTACTGACACTAGTCAGTATTGCATTAGTATTATTGCCCATTGTTTTTATGTCTGCAAATAGTATGAGTAAATAACATTTCCTATTTGTTTTACTACATCTTTTTAAAATTATTCTGAGGTGGAATATTTTTAATGGTCATTGGTCTTTTTTGTCTCACGCACTTTACCCAGTTTTCTATTTTTCTAGTCACCATTCCTTGCTGGTTTCTAAGCCATTCCACGCACGTTTAGCGTCCTTAATCCTCACCATTACTTCTGGCCTGCCTCTCACTTCGTGCTCGCTCATCTAACAGCCAAAGTTCACGGCTGCTCTCAACGCCTACTTTTCACGTTGCTCGTGTTTGGTTTTCCTTCAAGAGACTTGCTTGCTTTGTCTGTTTACCTAATTGCCTCTATTCCCTGATGGTTTTGTCCTTGATTATTTCAGCCGTAGGATGGAGGCTATTCTGAAAAGCTGTGACAGACTTGAGCTCCCAGCAGTGACATGAAAACTGTTTCTTGCCCCAGCCAGAAATATGAACTTCCTGAGTTCACAGACATGCCCAACACTCTCTACGCCTAGGCTTCTCATATAGAAGACACGTGTCTGAGTTCATGTCTCTGCTGTCTTAGAAAATTGAGCCTTGCGTAGAAGGGAAACCAAAGTACACGTGATTGGAAGGAACTAGAGATGATCAGGGTCACGCCGATGTTCCATGTACGGCAGAACCCCCTGGGGAGGACAGATGGGACCGTCTGCATGCTCACCGGAGCACCTGCATCCCAGTCTGGTGTGCCCGCCTTGTCCTGGGTCACAGCGCGATTCTACTCCCGTCCGCTCTCTGTGAGTCTCTTCCGGGGCCGCTACTGCACGACTGAACTGACAAGCTCCTCCCAGTCACAATAATCCAGCCTCCCTCATCAGTCTTTTTCAGAATTCATGGCTCCTCACAATGATTCTGTTTTACAAAACAACTTTAAAATTACTCCATCAAGTTAAAAATAATGTTACTGCTCTGTTGACTAATTCCACATTGAAATTACACATTTTAAGAAAAAAATGACATGTGGATGATGGAATTTTTCTAAGAATGAGATTTTCCTCTCCATGTTTTTATCGTCTCTTAATATGACCTTCTTGTGTCCTTCAATAGCTGTCTTCATAAAGATCCAGAATTTTTTTTGGTAACTTGATTCCTAGTTATTTTGTTTTTTTCCATTTGAGTCACATGCTTCATTATTTTCTATAATTGGCTATGGTTTGCATAGGGAAGTCTCTGGATTTTGTGTAATAATTTTGTCACTAGCCCACAAGTTGAACTGTCATCCCTTTTGATTTTTTTGTGGTTACTTATCAATGGCTTTTTTAATCTTAAAATCCCGTCTGTAGTAACCATCCTCAACCTCCTTGATTCTGGTGTGTGGACTTGTTATTCTCACGTCTTCACAAAAGCACTGGCTAACAACTGCTGGAACCTTCGGAGATCATCTGAGCCAGCCTCCTCACTTCGAAGAGGAAGAAACTACGGCTAAACGAGGGCACAATGATGTCACGGGTGATTCTGTGGTGGACACACTGTCTTATGCAGAACTCTCTCAGTGGCCACAATTCAAAACTCCCGTTTACCCATTTCCTCTAGTTTCCTCTTTCTCATCTCTTATCCCTCCTTTCTCATGTCAAAGATCAACTTCCTTAATATCCAAAAAAATGAAATAAGATTTTTCAAAAAACAGGTTTTTTGAAAAGTTTTTAAATATTAGATAAGGTAAGTCGTTTTCCCTTACATGTGATTTCTTCCGTAAAAGCCTTTGATTTTTCTTCCAGGGCTTGATTAAGAATTTCAACTCATGCATTAAGCACAGGTTGTGGTTTTGGCCTAGATGTCCTTGGCGGGGGGGGGGGGGGTCAAGGAAAGCAGTCTGTGTCCAGTGACACCAAAACCCAGTGCTTCTGTGACCCTGGGATTGAGCCTACCACTCTTCTAGGGTCCAAAATGGCCATGATTTAGTTTATGTCAAGTTTCCTGTTTGACAAGTTAGGGCCAGAGGAAATCCACTGTGGGTCTAGGAACATGGGTTCCTGCTGTTTATAAGCCCTGAGAGGAATTTCTAGAGGATGTAGGGGAAGTGAGAGAAACTGTCAAAGGTAAGGATGGTTGATGTTTTTAAGGAGAGAAAACAGAAATGAAAGGAGGGGAGGGAGAGGAGCAGGGAAAGAAAAAGAAGGGAGAAGGAGAGAGATCATGAGAATCTCTTGTAAAATTCCCGAGTTTGGGGCCATAGAGGCCCCCAGTCTGCTCCCCTGGCAGCGTGCACGCCGGATGGGCTGGCCACCGGGCAGACGGCCCTGGGGGGCGCTTCTAAGCTCTCCAGTGAGAGACCAGGTGCTGGCAGCTCTGGTCTCACCTTGCTCTGGTCTGTGAAGGTCTGAGCTTACCGGCTCCAATCAGATAGGACAGGTCCTTCCCTAGAGAAACAGAAGGGCACCTGGTGTCATGAAGCAGTGATGTTTCACGTTACCTTTGACCCGCACTTCACCTAGGAGACTCCGAGGTCTTGAAAACCCGAGGCTGAGCCCTTGGGTGTGAGTCAGACAGAGAACAACTGGAGCCTAAAGAGAGGACACACCTGCAATGTGGAAATCACCTCCCTTCTCTGTGCCAACCCTTCACCCACCAGAAGACCCTGACCCGGTCCCCTGAGCTTTCCCTGCCTGCTCTGAGGACCCTCAGCTCAGAGCCCCTCACACGGGACACCTTCTGCAGTCTGGCTGCCCACGAGTGAGTTCTCCCCCATTTGCCAACATCCTGCTTCAAGTGAAAACCCGAGAAGGTGTCCCTTCAAGCTCTCAGTGATCTACTTTAGGTCAGCTGAAATGAGCTGCACCATCTCACACGTGTAAGCAGGTGGCGTTCGGTCTTGGGCAACAACCTGTCAACGTGAAAATGACCACCGGTTGCGCCCAAGAATGTGGACCGGGCTTCAAGCCCTCACCGCGGACCCGGCATCCCCGCGGGCCCGGCATCCTGCTAAGTGCTCCGTACGGTCACATCATTGTAGCCTCACTATTCAGAGTGGGTTCTCAGAATGACTGTTCCAAAGATGAGGCAATGGGGCCACACAGTGGCTGAGCAGGAACTGAGCTCAGGTTGGAAGCACACCCATGTCACGGTTACCACACACTATCATTTCATGCAGCCCAGACCCTTCCAGAGAAAAAGACTCAGGTACCTCCAGGATATTCTGTTGAGAAAAATAAACGGTGCGTTAAGATCTTGGATACCCACGTTCTGGTTCTGGCTTTGCTCCTGACTTACAAGTCACTTCTCTGGCCCTCAGATCCCTCGTCTGCAAAATGATAGAGTTGGACTGGATGGCACCCCGAGTCCCCTCCTGAGTTCTGAGACTTGTGATGCCTGGTGCGTCCATGTGCCAAAGGAGGAGGGAGTGAATACACGTGAGAACGAACGCTCGCCTCAGCCACTGGGCTCCCCTGCTCAAGAGCTAACAGGGAACGGCTGGTCCTGAGCAAGCGTCTGGCCCCACATCCCCCCAGGCCGCTCACTCACCTCCTCTCCCTCCTGCGGGCAGCCGGCGCTTTGGGAAGCCTCTGCTTCATCCCTGAGTGGTCGTTCCTGGAGTTGCTGCTAATGGCCTGACCACGTTCTGGTCACACCGGTGCTACTGAACCAAAGAAACCACCGAGCGGGCGCTTCCGGGAAAGCGGCGGGCCCTGGCCGCCACCCAAGGGCTAGCGACAGGCGGCCCGGTCGCGAGCGTAAACAGGCCTGGCTGATGCGCACAGTCTGAAGGGCGGGAGGGGTGCCGGCGCCCGCGCTGCCCCTCTCGGGAAGGCGGCGGGGAAGTCCCCGCTCACCTCGGGCGCTAAGCAGCCCCCTGCCGTGAGGCGGGCGGTGTGTCAGGGAACCTGAGCGCTGCCACAGAGCCCGGGAGAGCTGGAGGCAGAACAGATGAGAAGATTGGGAAAAACGCCTTCTATGAAGTCGTGGCACTCCCTCAGGGCTACGGCTGTAAACAAAGGGGCAGCGTCAGCTCTCTGTGCAGGAGGGAGGAAATCAAAAGGAAATAGCGGTGCATTCCAAGAACAGGAGAAGTAAACCGTGTCTGGAGGAGACAAAGCACTGACTTCTACCCAGGGCTGTGCTTTAATCATCACAGGAGCTGGCGGGGGGGGGGTGCGTGGAGAGGACATAACTGATGCAGCTGAGAAGAGGTGAAGGGTCTTGGGACCCCCGGCACGTCGGCATACGGAGGGGGCTCCATGAGAACGCACTTGAAATACGCGGACAAAAACCGGTTTGGGGTGGAAGCCACAAAAACCATTTGGGAATATTATCAAAAGTGGTCATAAAAGGACATATCATATTGTTTAATTGCATGTTTTATCTTCTCTTGTTTTCTAATTTCTCTTCCAATTCTTAATCAGAACTCCAGGACTTTCCTCAGTGAAAGAGGACCATGAGCAAGTCAGGTTTGGATTAACCTCTGAGCTAGAAAACCTGGGCTGTGGCTCCAGAAACACCACCTGCCTCTGGACCCCTGGGAAGCACCTTCTCTTTCTGGACCTTAGTTTCTTCATCTGGAAAATAAGGTGCTCACTAAGGCCCCTCCCACTCTGAGATGCAACCACATTTGAGCCCAGTGCTTGCATCCGGTGACGCCAGGCACGGGTGAGTGGCTTCTCAGCCAAAAGATGCTTCCCGCACTAAGCAAAATCCGCTTCCAAGCAAAATTTGGTTGTCCCTCCTGCTTAACGAAGGGAAGTGAGTTATTCACAATGTAGACTCATCTGCCTGCCTTATGTTAGGGGAGGACGCTGACCTAACATCCTTGGAATTTCGGGGCAGAGCATTTGGGCGAGAAGAATCACACAGAGCCAGGAATCAGGCCAGGCGGGCCCTTTCAGGTCCCACCTAGTTCTCAATTTCTCTCACTCTCCTGGCCCCATTTCCAGGGACAGGGCACACTCAGCTCAGCAACGTTCACCGAGCAAACCGTCTGCCCTGCTCACACAGTTTGCTGGTTACTTGCCCAGAACCAGGGAACAAAATGAACAAAATGTGCTCCTGGCACAGGAGGGGCATTCAGCTGGATCAAACAGGTTAGCAGCCTGACAGGTCATCGCCATTCAGCCCAGTAAGTGCATGGAATCTCGCAGGAAGGGACAGCTGTTTCTGTTCCTACGTCGGGGGCGAGGGGAGCAGGGCGAGAAGCTGGGAGATGTTTGCTGTGGGTTATGGGTCTACGTCTTAAGAGACGAGTTAATATGTATGAGGTGGACACAGAGGTGAAGCTAGTCCTGGAAAAAGGAAGGTCGGGGGCAAAGATACGAGGACAGATTCCAAAGATTTGGGGAAATTGTGTGTCCTCTGGCTAAGGTACCAGAAAAAGGAAATATCGTAGGATACACAGAATCAGATCTTGTAAGTGAAATGTGTTCTGCAAGCAAAGAGAAGATATTCAAGGATTTGAAATGAGAAAACACCAGCGTCCAGTTTGCAGCATGGCGGTAACGGGAGAGGTACGCAGGGACTCAGGGGTCCGGGCAGAGGGCTGTCACAGCCCCGAGACTTCTGACACACTGCACCATCTGCAAAACGGGCCGACAGCTCTTCCCCCCAAACCGAGGATGTAGTAACACAGGGCCATCACGCTCAGAGAGCAGAGGTGTGGGAGGAAGACAGGGATGGCTGCCTGTGCGCGGGGGCTCAGACAGCACTGCCGGGCGCAGCTCCGCACAGTCTCGCCTGCTGCCTCAGAGAAAAGCCAGCTGGCCCTTATCTGAAACGGGGAGATCAGACGAGTAGGTGGGTGGTGGGAGACTCCCCGGAGCCAGACTGGCACCAGATTCCAGGGAGAAGAGCTGGCGTGCTGAATGACCCAGCACAGGGGGTCCGGGTCGGCAGGGAGCAGGTGGCTGGAGGCAGCAGCCATGACCGGTTGTCTGACTGCTGATGGCCCCAGTGTGTCGTCCTCATTGGCTGGCCGTGAAGAGACTGTGTTCATACCAACAATCCTGCATCGCAGGGAGGACTCCTCGTAGCCTGGAAGCCAATTCTGTCCACTTCCCTACAAAGGCCTCTTTAAAATAGTGCGGCAAAGAAAAGGGGAAGGGGGTGGGAATCAGGGGTCTGGGAGTAGCAGGTGCACACTACTGCGTGTCAGATAGATAAGCAACGAGGCCCTGCAGTGCAACACAGGGAACCATATTCAATATCTTGCAATAACCCATAATGAAAAAGAATATGTATGTGTGTATACACACACACACACGACTAAATCACTATGCTGTACACTAGAAGCTAACACAACATTGTAAATCAACTACAGCTCAATAAAAAATAAAATAAACAATAGAATAGATGGTGCAGGAACATTTCCCCTGGACAAAAATGAGTCATCATCAAACAGAAGCCACTCGGAATCTTTCCAAAGATACTGGAGATGGGGGGAGAGGTGAGGGGAGAAGGAAGAGGAAAAACAATGGGGGGAAAAGACACCATCAGCTGAAAATTCTGCCATGAAATGGATAAAGTTATGACTTACTAGAGCACCATACATTGATAATAATAAGGATGATGATAATAAAGGAGAGGTGATTTCTTATTTTGCAACAGAAACAGAACACAAATCAGAGATGCATTCACTCAGAAAAGATATTTTGAGATAAAAAAGGAGAAAAAAAAGCCCTGAGTTTGTAGAACCACTGCAGAAAGTGAAAGAAGAAAGAAAGCACCACAAAATTGAAGGCCCAATTAGGGGCACACGAGTGAAGCTGCACATTTCTGAAAACAGAGGAGGAGGCCGTGAGGACAGGATCGAGGGACGTGAGTAAAATGTGGTGGAAGTAAGCCAGAGGCAACGCGGAAGAGCGGGGAAACATGACTGACACGGAAGACGGGCAGGAGACTCAGCGTCACACACTTAGGATCTCCAAGCGGTAACCTAGCGTTCTTAGCAGAACTTTCAGGTAATAGGAAGACTCTCGTCTGCTAGGTTAAAGCGGTGTTCAAAGGAAATCCGACACAGAACAATCAATAACAAATTCTAAACATCTCAATAAAATTTCTGGATTTTTAATACAAAGAATCTTTGGAATAATCGAGCAAAAAGATCAAGTGGCCTAGAAGGTCAGAAAGGCTCCGGCTGATAGAAAAATCACCTTCACCACCAGAGGACAGTGAGCAATTCCAACAGCGCGCCAAGAACAGGAAATGCGACACCATGATGTTTTTCTCAAACGACTATCTTTCTTCTATAAAAGCAACAGGCGTCCTACACAGGAAAGGAATCGAGGACAGTCGCTCTGGGGAGGAGTGCTGTTTGGGGGGGTTAAAAAAAATGCAGAACTAGCTTCAGCCAATGGCAAGGAAAAGGTGGTCGTGTGACAAAGCAGTGTGAATACTGAAGTGATCTAACCGTAGACCTAGAGGGGTGGGCTGGGGCGGAGCCCGGCGTAGATGTAACAAACCACAGAAAGGCACGCTCTGGGGGCCGCGGCTTAGGGCTTCTGCAGGTGAGTTCTGAGGGGCACAAGTCAGCCCGTAACACCATGGTTGTGATTTCCTGATCTTTCCATCTTCATCCCTGTCTCTCCCCCAGGCATTCGGATGGATGCTCTCTGCTGGAATATTTCTTGTTTGTAACCTGCTCTGTCCCCAGGGCTTAGAACAGTGGTTGGATATAAAAGAAACGGGAAATTCAACACATATTTGCTGGAGGAATATATCATCCTTTTATCCTTAACTTAATCACAGGACTGCCTGATGGTTAGATTTAAGGGTGTAATTGTTTTTCGCATTTATTTTCCTTGTAATAAAAAAAATCCTCTGAATATTATTTTTTAAAGCCTCAGATCCAGAACTGTGGGACTCAAACCCTCGCAGAGGACTGAGAGGGAGCTCAGGAGGCAGCGACTCACGGGAGCTGCAGAGACTCAGGGGAAGCTGCCGCGGAGACGTGGGCGATGAGGGTCAGGGTCCCTCTGGGGCCTGCCTGACCAGCGGCCATGTGGTTTCCGTTGCTTCCTTCCTTCCCAGCGTCTGTCGTGAGAAAGCCCCATCCCCTAAGCTCACCAGAGCAGGGTGAGCACACCTGCCGTTTCTAAGTCCTTACCACCCGCCCGAGGCCGTCGGGTGAAATCAATGAGGTGATTGCCTGGAACCAGCGTCTACACCTGCTCAGGGCCGGGTTCCCACTCCTAATGTCGGTTTTCCCTCCACAAGACGACACAGGCTAAGGACAGAGAAAGAGAGGTGACAAGGGGCAGGGCAGGAAGCAAAGGAAGCCAAGCCGTAGAAACCTGCTCACAGAACCTACATCACTGCCCTGTAAGCACACAATGTAAAGCAGCAGGAAAACTCGCATGAACTGGGCTCTTCAGCACAGACTGAAGCAAGGATCATCAACTAGGCGTGTGTGGCCCCGCAAGGGAGTGACAGTTCTGGTGAGGCGAGGACGGTTGTTCACATGAGCATATTCAAGGTCACGGTATTACCTGTATTTGACATATGGGGGAAAAAGACCTTATTTTTTGTATCACGGGCTTCAAGAAAGACTGGATCAAATCTTAGCTGATGAAAATATGCAGCAAGTTGAATCGGTCCCAAGCAGGCGTCCCTAAGAAACTGCGTGTGGAAGAGGGGAGGCTGTAAGTGTGGGGCCGGGCTGTGACTCAAAAGAGACGGGCGTTTTCTAAGGATCAAGAGCGAATGAATAAAATAGTGCTACTAAGGAACTATTGTGAAGAAATTTACTGTATATAATGCCTCTTTTTCCTACTGTTTCTTCCTGTTACCGTACTTGTTCATGTTTGGTGCACAGAACTGGGTAAGTGCAAAGCTCTGTGTTTAATTTCTTTAAAATGTATATACTTGGTGTTGCATCTTATAGCCCTTTGAAATACCTCACATTTATGAAAATAAATAGCAATTAAATTTTTTAAAAATAATGCCATTTGCAGCAACATGTATGGACCTGGATATTGTCATTCTAAGTGGCGTAAGCCAGAGAAAGAGAAAGAAAAATACCATCTGGTATCACTTACATGTGGAGTCTAAAAAAAAAAGACAAGTAACATTCACAAAACAGAAATAGACTCACAGACAGAAAACAAACTTAGGGGTACCAGAGAGGGAAGAGAGTGGGACGGCATAAATTTGGAGTTCG